TCAAACTAAAAACATTTCAGTAACAGATGAACACTCTGAGCAGGAGGACACACGACACCCACAGTCTGAATGGTGACATGGGCACGTGTCCCGGGCAGGTGAGTTTTTAAGCTGTCATATCAAATTTTACGTAGACACAGAGGAAGCCAACACCCTCATTACCTTTTTTTCTTCACTGTCATTAACCCTGTGGTTTTCATGGTGAGGTGTTGCCATTGCAAGGCCTTGGTGATGCGGCCTTGGCAGGCACCTGGCCCRGGGAGTGCGAGGGTGGCGAGATGTGAAGCTGAGATTACTCARTAATTAGTTTTTAACACTGACAGTCGTGGTGGTCGCTGTCTCCTCCGCTTTATGCAGCARAGGCAGTGAACAATGAAGAAAGTGGCAGATTTCCAGCTGCCAGCACAAGCGGCTACGGCCCTGCTTGCTGAAACAACACGGCCCTTCCACACAGGCGTCTTCACACGCCTCRGGCTCCTTCACAATGTTGTTTTGATACGTTTGCTAAATTTAGAGCTGTCTCAGACGAGCCAAGAGAGAAAGAACATACTTAGGAAGGGGAAGAAACAAGCCATGAATATAACTCATCTCCTTTTTCTGTTATTTCCCCTTAGAAACTGGGTATTCCTGAGGACTTATTTGGGGTTTCCCTCGCAGCCAGAGCCTTTGAATGGTATGGGCTATAACAACTCACTGGGCTGAGTTTATACCCCTTTTCCATTCCACAAATAATGACAACAAAACCTCCCCAAAAATGCCAACTTGCACCYATCCACTCCCCTTAATGAAAAATAAAAGTTCCATCTCTCCCTTCCCTCACACACACACATGCAGTTTCCGTACAAAGACAAATTTAGCATCAGAAGACAAGATTCAGACTCTTCCCCCTCTCAGATCCCAGCCTTTCAAGCACACCAGATAATTCCTTAAAGAATGAAGCACAAAATGTCTTAAGCCCTRTTTCAAAAGGGCCGCAGCACACAGGAATGTGTGATTCATTGACTTGCAATGAGACTTAGGCTTATAAAGTTATTTCTGAAGGTAAGATGAGAAACTGGAATATAGTAACAGCTTTGTAAGTATTTTTCTGACTTAGACCAAAACTCCATGAAAATATTGCCCTAATAAGATATGGAACATAAAGAAACAAATTATAATAATAGAAGACTGCATTAAGGAATACACAAATCCAAGTAAACACATTAATATCAGGAGGTGCTTTCCCTTCTTTTAATATGAAAGTAAGTAAAACATAAACTTGCCACAACCCCTTTTCCTCTGAAAYAGTAGAATCATTAAAAATGACATATCAATGAACATATTTTAGTGCTGTCCCAAACCTGCACTGTCATGCAGCCTCTCCAAATGCTTGGAAAGCAGCAAGCACTTTCCATCTGAAAACACATATGTCCTTTATATTTACAAACAATAATAGAACAGTCTGTAGGACTGTAAACCAAAAMTGCATTTAAATAAAATTTAGCACTGCAAAAGCTTCCAGGAAAAATGACTCAAAACCAGCACAGCTCTATGGGCCTCACCAAAATTGAAAATCTTTCAGTCAGCTGAATTTCTTAGCCTATGCTTGTGCTTTATAATTCTCAGAAGCGCAAATGGACTATAAAGGAAAACATTCAGTCCCTGGAAAACTCCATTTTCAAAAACAAGCCAGAACCAAGTGGCAGCCATACTTTCCAGCTGAAAGTGAACCTGCAGAAATACAGTCAATTCTTGTAGTTTTTCCAGCTTTGCACAGGATGGGGTGGGGAAAACTGGTAAAGTGCTGGTGTTCAGCTTAAAGCTTGTATTTTCCCACTTGGGAAGCAGACCTCGCTGCTGAGATGAAAATATTCCCAAAGGGACAGACTCTGCTGGCACATTGGGACATTGTGCCCATTCTGGGCACCATGTGAATGAAGTGCCCAGAAGTGCCACTGGTGGGAGTGAAGAGAAGACACAATTGGTCCAGCAAACAGCAAAACAGATGGAAGCCACATCCCTAAAATGTAGTTCACTTTCCAGACTGACACTCCTTCTGTGAAGGGGATGGGCAGCAACACCCCARTCTGAAGGACAGAGATTCCTGAGGTCTGACTGAGCTCACCCTGCTCTCCCCAAGCTCCTCAAACCACCAGGGAGGTRTAAGAGACACACATGCCCTGTATTTTCCTTCCCCTCTCTCAAGCAGTGTAAGCCTAGTACTGTTGTGACAAGTGCTTTTCAGTCTACAGCAAGAAATCCTATAGGTAAAGCATTTCTCATTYAGAAGATCTGCCAAAAAAGTATTCACAGGAACCAAGGACAAGCGAACCGCAGTGTTTTGCTATAAACACCAACATCAAAGAGACGCCAGGAAGCAGAAAATCTATATGAAACTCATGCATTTCATAGCAGCTTCCCAAAAAACTTTTTAAAGTGACTTTTTACTCTTCCATTTCCTTA